ATTATCTGTTTCAAATATGATTTGTTTGGAATCTTAAGTTAATGGACTGTCTCTTTAAATTTCTATCAATTCTTGTGATGTTCCTGGTCTGTGATATAGTGATGGTTCTGCCCTCTGCTGTTGATGTGAAGATCCTGGTCTCGTATTTCTGGGCGTGTGGAATAGGTTTTACAAATCTAAAGGGTGGGAGCTGAGGTATGTTGTCTTTTTATTGCTGAACAATCTGTGGTATTTTGAAACATTTCTGTGCAATGTTCTCTTCACACATAACTGTTGCATGTTGTGTAGGGTAGCGTTTGGAGCAAGTCATGCACTCATACCTGTAAATAAGCAACAAAATCATCCAAAAGATATCTATCAACATTCACCCTTCATGTCCCTACGCATATGATATAGAAGACAGTATTAAAATATTACCTAAAGATTTGCAGTCCGATATAAAATTTACTTGGATAAATAAACCTTGCAATTTGCATTCAGACACTGCATTGTTAAAAGATTTTTCTGACAACTGATATTCATTTTTTAGATTGGAGAAAAGGTGATTGTTATAGAAAGATAGTCAGTCACTCAAGATGCAGTTTGATCTTCATATGATAATTACGAGGCACAAGTAGGCTTACTTATAAGGGAAACATGATTATTTATGAAATATTCTATTTTTTCATGATAACGATCTTATATTTATAGTAAAATGGGTAACGAAACTGCTCTAACAACTATAAAACCAATCTTTATTTCAATGACACAAGTACAAAAATGACATTCACCAATTAATATCCATCGCGCAGTTTCCTCGGACAGCTCTTTGCTGCGTTGAATCGTGTTGGAGGAGGGAAACATGTTTTCTTCAGGATGCTGTTCAGGAGGTCCATAGAAAAGTATACTTGTTAATTTTGTAATAAGTAGTTGAGAAAAACTCAGCACATAATTCTTCTTTAAAACACTGGTTCATATTTGATTTAAAACGTCAACTTGTGTGACCTTGACCATATAATTTTTGTTTCACTAACCTGGAAATATGAGTTCCATGCCCGCAGCCTCTGAACTTCAAAGATTCCTCGTGGGATTATATTGTTTTTTTATATTCATTACCATAAGTTATTTCCTTTATCAGAATATTTGATCATTTGTGTAAATATATACAATTTCATTTTCATAATAAATACTAAGTATGAAAATTCTAAGACGATGTTATTGCCGAAAATAACTATAAGAGTCTAACACCTCTAGTTTACAGTGTAGTTGAATTACAGGTGGCGTCAGTGATACACTGATTGGCTTCAGTCTTTATTGAAGAGAACACACGATATGAAAACTACAGCGTGGAACACCCCCGCCGGGAGGGCCGAGAGCGGGCAACTCAGGTCACAGGAGGTCGCTGAAGGTGTGAGTGAGAAGGCCCCACGCCCTGCTAGGGCGGGTGACCGTCAGAGAGTGAGTGAGTGAGAATGAGGGTCAGCTTGGATGACCTTATATACCCTTGGCTGACGGCGTGGCCTCTATATTTAGAAGAGCGTGGTTTGGGCGATAGCGTGGCGTGGAATACCCGCGTGGTACGCACGTGGAGGCATGGTAATGCAGTATGCTAACCTATGCAGTATGCTGTATTGAACCCTTTATACCGCTCGGCCACCACCTCAGCTTCGTCCTCGTGGCGTCATCTGAATCACTTCAAGGGTGACCTATCATCGTACCCCATCTGCTGGTCGTCTCGTCGTTCCTGTTCTCGGTTGTCCTCGTGCATCTCCTCGTTGTCGGCCTCTTCATCTTGGTCCTTGGTGCATCCATCCGTCATCGACGTCCACACGTCCTCGAAGGTTTCGCCTAGGTCCTCCTTGACTTCGGTTCGTCCAGTCGTCCTCGTAGTCCTATCCAGGTGGTACTCGGCGGCATCGTCGTCCACACGTCCTCGCAGATTCGTCCAGGTCCTTTTCGGCTGCGGCTCGTACCGACGTCCTCGTAGCCTTACGGCGTCCTGGGCAGGGGCGTCCTTTCGTCTGAGGGCGTCTTACTCCTGCGCTGGGGAGCTCCTGGAGTTTAACCGATCTACGGGCGTCCAGGCAGGCGGCTTTTCATAGCATCATGGGGCCTGCTCTGACGAGTTCCTGGTTATCTACGGGAGTACTGAACAGGCGGCGCCCGTCCACTTGATCTGGGCGGCTTAGTACCTGCAATTTCGCGAGTCCTCGTCCTTTGGCCTGCGGCGATCTTCTGGCGATGTTCGTCTCACGGCATTGCAAGGTGATCGTGCTGCAGTTAGATCTCCTTTGATGCCGTGTCGGATATGCACGTCCATTATATACATGAACCAGTTCATACACGTAAGGCCAAGATAGTAAGAAAAGAAAAAACAACAGAGAGGAGGGATGTTAATTAAGAGCTGTTAGCCATTATTTTTATGCTAATTTGCAGTTTTTAATGTGGGTTTTTCATTTATTTTCGTTTTTTTTCTCACTTTGTATTTTTCAGGAAGAAAAATGAGGAAGAGGAGAGTAGCAGTTCTCACGAACTTGCTTGAGCTACGAACCATCTCAGATAGATATGAGAATAGATAAGGGAAATGGCATCGGCATCCTCAAGGATAACTTAAACAGATTGTCATTTCACAGAGAAGAAAAAGTATGTATTGTGCATCATTTATACTAATCACGATCAGCAACGCCACAAGGCAAAAGAATAGCCTTAGACTACGACACAACAAATCTACAGATGAAGATTTGATTTAACAGTGTCTGTTGAACTGCGTGGAAGAGTGTGTGAAATGATTGTGTGTATGTTTACTCATCACAACAACATTGCGGGTAAAAGAGATAACCTGCAATTATGCACAACAAATCCTATAATTGAAGATTTGACACAGTGTCTGTTTGCGTGAATGAGTGTGCATGTAATTATGAGTGTAAAGAGAAAGCGAGCTCACACAAAGATGGATCACAAACACGAATTTAACGTTCACTTAGCAAATGTTATTATCATTATTATGTTAATACAACAATTATTTCAATTACCCCAACAATTCAGCATTAAATTAAATGCGACTTAACGTACGCAAAATGAATGGTGACATGAAATTTCTTTTGCAAGCTTCCGCAATGCAAGCATCCCAGTTCAGAAATGTTTCTTTACGTTATCCTCGATTATTAATCGTACTTATGGAAACGCTAAAATCTGATACAATGAGGTAATCATTTCTCACTTAAGCATGCTAGAGGATAAGCCATTTTCGACAGTGGGATTCCTTTGCCCAAATTACCTGAACGAAATGAAGGGACTATATGAGACTCGAATTCTATCTTAGTCTTACTCTACAATCTGTGAATGGCGCACGCAGAAATCAACTACGAATCACACGATTGTCGGAATATTCCGGACATGCCAGCGGTAAAGAAAGTGAGAAGGTTGTTTTTACTGAGCGAATTTAAGCTTAACCTTAGTCCTACCTTTATAATCAGACGTCAATATAGTCACACCGACTGCCGAAACGAACGAATTAATTATGCTTCAGTTTCATTATACTTACTCTCAAATGTCGGGTGCGCAAATCTATTATTCCTTAAGAAACCCCATGCATTATTGCACGATGAAAGGGGAAGATTGTTACGCTTTATTCATTAAAATGATTTAGAAGTATTTGCGATCAAGCTATTTTTCTTTGCGCCGAAAGAATTGTCACCAAATAGCGTTGATGCACTACAAGTTTCCTCCCAGCCTGGACCATAAGTGAAAGTGAGGTCGAAATAACGAAATCAGTCAGAGAATGAAATGAACCAAGAGTCCAACAATGAGCGAAGTTCAATAATCAATTAACGAAATTCGACAAGAAGAGAAATGAGTACACAGAATTCATTCGTATGTGGTCGTGAATCACAAAAAAAGAAAATTCTCAGCTTGAGAGAAAATCGAACTTGAGTTGAATTTTGTTGTTGAAACAATATAAATAAATCTCTAAATGCGAGAAAATTAATTATTTAAAGAACGATATTTCCTGTGTTTGTGACCTCCTGACACATCCTGAGTAAGTGTTCTCAGGTCCCGTGATTGACAGACTGTGAGAGTGTTGCCATTATGCTGTTAAATTTTCACTTTTAGCACTTAACACCAGCAAAACCAACGTGGAACGGTTTGCTTAACACATATATGGGGGAAGAGAAAAGAAAAGAAAGATTGACCCATACATGTACTCACGTGGTTTTGTATCCTCGTTCATATCGCGATGTTTTTAGAGGCGAGCGGTCCTATGTTCTTCAGAGTTCTTAGTTCGTGCTTCAAGCCGAAAGGCTAAAGCAAGCACCGCAGCCACCATACTATAAGAGTGTCTAACACCTCTAGTTTATAGTGTAGTTGAATTACAGGTGGCGTCAGTGATACACTGATTGGCTTCAGTCTTTATTGAAGAGAAACACACGATATGAAAACTACGGCGTGGAACACCCCCGGCCGGGAGGGGCCAAGAGCGGGCAACTCAGGTCACAGGAGGTCGCTGAAGGTGTGAGTGAGAAGGCCCCACGCCCTGCTAGGGCGGGTGACCGCCAGAGAGTGAGTGAGTGAGAATGAGGGTCAGCTTGGATGACCTTATATACCCCTTGGCTGACGGCGTGGCCTCTATATTTAGAAGAGCGTGGTTTGGGCGATAGCGCGGCGTGGAGTACCCGCGTGGTACGCACGTGGAGGCATGGCAATGTAGTATGCTGTGTATGCAGTATGCTAACCTATGCAGTATGCTGTATTGAACCCTTTATAATAACTCTGAATGGCAACTCAAGCGATGGCACCCATGAAGTTCATGACGGACATGTGACGTAACAGTACATGATTGGTGGGATTAACTTGTCCCTTCTGCGCATGTGCAAGATTAAGAAATGAGCTTAGGGCGTCTTCTGTACATGCCATAAAAGTTAATCCAGTATTAAAGTTTAATCCAGATCTCTAGTGCGCATACGCATTGGCAGCCTCCAGGATCAACTTTAAATACACCTCTAGACCAGGCTTTAATATTAAGCTAATTTTTAAATCCTGCACATACGCAGAAGGGGCAAGTTAATCCCACCAATCATGTGCTGTTACGTCACGTGTCCGTTATGAACTTCAAGGGTGCCATCGCTTGAGTTTCCATTCAGATTTATTTTCGGAAATAACATCGATCGTCTTAGAATTTTCATACTTGGTATTTATTATCAAAATGAAATTGTATATATTTACACAAATGATCAAATATTCTGATAAAGGAAATAACTCATGGTAATGCATATAAAAAACAATATAAACCCACGAGGAATCTTTGAAGTTCAGAGGCTGCGGGCATGGAACTCATATTTCCAGGTTAGTGAAACAAAAATTATATGGTCAAGGTCACACAAGTTGACGTTTTAAATCAAATATGAACCAGTGTTTTAAAGAAGAATTATGTGCTGAGTTTCTCAACTACATTACTACAAAATTAACAAGCTTTTCTATGGACCTCAACAGCATCCTGAAGAAAACATGTTTCCCTCCTCCAACACGATTCAACGCAGCAAAGAGCTGGCCGAGGAAACTGCGCGATGGATATTAATTGGTGAATGTCATTTTTGTACTTGAGTGTCATTGAAATAAAGGTTGTTGTTATAGTTGTTAAAGCAGTTTCGTTACCCATTTTACTACTACAAATATAAGATTGCCATCATGAAAAAATAGAATATTTCATAAATAATCATGTTTCCCTTTATAAGTAAGCCCACTTGTGCCTCGTAATTATCATATGAAGATCAAACTGCATGAGTGACTGACTACATCTTTCTATAACAATCACCTTTTCTCCAATCTATAAAAAATGAATATCAGTTGTCAGAAAAATCTTTTAACAATGCAGTGACTAAATGCAAATTGCAAGGTTTATTTATCCAAGGTTATTTTATATCGGACTGCAAATCTTTAGGTAATATTTTAATACTGTCTTCTATATCATATGCGTAGGGACATGAAGGGTGAATGTTGATTAGATATCTTTTGGATGATTTTGTTGCTTATTTACAGGTATGAGTGCATGACTTGCTCCAAACGCTACCTACACAACATGCAACAGTTGTGTGTGAAGAGCAATTGCACAGAAATGTTTCAAAATACCACAGATTTTCAGCAATAAAAAGACAACATACCTCAGCTCCCACCCTTTAGATTTGTAAAACCTATTCACACACGCCCAGAAATACGAGACCAGGATCTTCACATCAACAGCAGAGGGCAGAACCATCACTATCACAGACCAGGAACATCACAAGAATTGATAGAAATTTAAAGGGACAGTCCATTAACTTAAGATTCCAAACAAATCATATTTGAAACAGATAATCTTGAAGAAATGTGTACAGAAAATAAGGTACGAACTTTCTTACTTTGGTATGATAGTCTTAGTTTTCAATTTTGGGAACATTGGGAGGCATAAAGAATTGATTAATGATATGAATAAGTTTTTAATGTCTTGTCTTCAATCCTGTAGGTACGTCTGGGATGAAGGAAGGAAAAGGTGGTCTTCAGAAGCATCTGAGAAGTTTATATTATTATTTTTACAGAACACTTTAAACAATTAGGGGCAAAGCAGTGCAGAGATAAAAAAGGCATAAAGATAATTAGCATTATGAAAACATTAGTAAGAGTCTCAGTTTCATGAAATACACATTAATATAATAGATATTTTGAAACCTAAGAAATGTCTAAAATAGTTTCTTAAATATATTACCAAAAACATGACATCACAAAAAAAGAAAGAAAAAAAATGAAATCTCCGAGAAGAGCGAATTTCACGCGCGACATTTCTCTTCTCTCCGACATGTTTACATAATAACGGTGGTGATAGAATAGTGAGTACGACAGTTTTTTTTACTGAACATTATTGTCTGGCAGCGGAGAGTGCCGTCTTCGGTACGGACGCGGTCGATTAGGATTAAACTAAATACGGTTTAAGAGTTAAGGACGCTATAGAAGACGCCCTTAATATTAAAGCTTGGTCTAGAGGTGCATTAAAAGTTGATCCTGGACGCTGCCAACGCACATGCGCACAAGAGATTCTGGATTAAACTTTAATACCGGATTAACTTTTATGGCACGCACAGAAGACGCCCATAATCACCACCCGCTCCTTACACCCACAATCATGTAGAAAAGGTATGAATAAAAATATCTCCACAATACAAGAGCTGCATTTGACCGGTTTGAATATATCTTCGTTTCTCTGCCGAAGATACATTCAAAACCAGGTCAAATACATCTCTCGTATTGTGAAGATATTCTCATTCATACTTTTTCTACATTTGTCACAATGAATGCGGTCCACCCACATTCGCACCTCTCAGAACACCCATTTCCATACATATAGTATCGTGCATAATTCAATACAAAATGTTTGATATTTTTATTCACATAATACTTGACATGATGGTCATTTCATTTTTGACGCCAGGGTTAGTTGTAGCTTCCCTTTCAGTTGCAGGGGTCAGTTTTCTCAACAACTGGGTAAATAAAGAATTGCATCGTTTTTTCCTACGCCTGTGCAACTCCCGCCCACCCCACACACACTCACGATCACCTTCCCCTTCCCCCAAGCACCTTAACCCAGCATACACACCTTACACACAACCCTCCCTCCCCTCTGCTACATTCATACCTTACCCAGTCAAAAATTTCCTCCTCTCGAACACATGCACGTATATACACAGTCCAGTCCTTCATCACACAAACACATCTTCACATACAGACTAGTTCGTTCACACACATACGCAATCAGCTTCCTCTTCCCATTCACCAAACTATAAGCAACTTTAACATATATTGTATACAGCCTTTGATCCCATTTCTCACCGATCCTTGACACGCATAAACACATACAAGTACAAACACATACAAGAAGACAAGTACATAAACATATAAAGACTCATACATGCATGGACACACACACACACACACACACACACACACACACACAACACACACACACACACACACACACACACATATATATATATATATATATATATATATATATACATACATACATACATACATACAGACAGACAGACAGACAGACAGCACGACATACACGCTCATACACAAACACGCAGTTACACACACGCACACGGGCACAGAGTCGACTTAACCCACTCCAACGTCTATACGTATACGGCCGGTTTGTTAAAACTGTGTGAGGACCGACCCATGAAATATTTTTATACCGCCATACATATACATTGAAATAAATGCATATTTATCTACTGTGTAGATAGAGAAATAAATGTATATATACCTGATAGATTGACAGATATGCATTTATTTCTGTGTAAAAGCATGTTTCTCTATACGAGTACTCACTGGTCGGGCCTCGCACATACCGGCCGATAGACTTTGTACACACTTAACATTCGGCACCCATCTCGCGAAAACACACACACGCACGCACACAGGTGAGTGACAGTCGCCCAGAGCCCTCTATCGACGGCCAAACGAAGTTACCCATAATAACACAGTCGTGCAATCCGGTCGAGGCATCTGCAGGCTGGCAGTTGCTGAACCCTTCTAAAACTTATCTGACAGCAGTCCCCGTTCACCATGTCTCTCTTTTGGAGCTGTTTAGTGGGGCCTCGGCTCTACAGCGTGTACGGGCAGATCAGATCAGGGAAACAGGTGAGAGGGGGTCGTGTCAAGGCCCGTTTGTGTGTGATTGATCATATGATTTTGAGATAATTTGAGAGGGACGTGATTTTCGTGTGTTAATATCTTCAAGGAATGGAAGTGTTTGTCAGATATGTGGAGCGTAGTGACTCATTCTACTGTTCTTTCATAAAAGTCCTAGAGATAAAGGCGAGGGAGATCTAAATATGTGTTATCTATATTCATTTTGTATTGATTTTACGTTCGGTGATAATTTTATGTTTATCAAGTTTATGATATTTAATCGTTTTGAGTCGAATAACCCTTCCTATTCAAATGAAAATTGGTCATTAGGTCCAGAAATTATATAGTTGGATGTGAGGAGATGTGAGATTAACAGTTGTATTATTAAAGAAATTGTGGAAGCCACTCTTCGAAGCGCAAAGTCCTCTACTAAGGAATAATACTGCAAAAAATCAACTGGTATATCAAAATAAGGCAAGATGATATGAACATTGTATTTTTGAAATTGACAGTCCTATAGTTATGCTAAGACTTCCTACAGTCGTGAAGAATTTAGCATAAAGAAATTGTATCCAGAACTGATTTGCATTACACAATTTTTTTTAAGCATACAACCATAGTTCATAGTACATAGTTAATTCACATTCATTGTGAGCTGTTTTGACTAATCTCTATTAAGTCATCCATTTAAACAAGTTAATTAATTTTAAATGCATGGTAGTATTAGAATTGATTTGAAGCATCTCACAGTATGGATGGTTATACCTAAACTTGTGAGATACTGATTCAGTGTTGTTAAGAAATGACAGGTTTTTATAGCTTGAAAATAGTTATCTTTATCAGTTTAATCCTAACCTTGTTAATTTTTTACTTTATCATTGGCCTGTAGACAAGGTATAAGATAATAAGGAATGAAAAATTCTTATAGTATAGTATTGTATTCACTTGAAGACTATATTAAAGAAAGAATTTTAATTAACATGTTTCATTGCAGGTCATTCCATATGTTGCTAATGCACTAGAACAGTTTGGGAACAACATTATGAAAGGGGTAAGTAAGCATACCATATGCTTTGATATTGATACCAAGTTTAGCTTGTTCTCATCTAAGCCGTACCTAGTGTATGTATATAGGAATTGTTTGCTAGTAACCACCTGTATGTTTGCAACAAGGTTTGGTGGATAAAGATAAGAAGTGTAATATTATTTTTGTATGTTTGAAAAAAAAAAAAATAGAGTATTGATACAGTGAACTACATGACTTCAAAATAATATTGGTATTGTTTAAATAATGCATAATTATTCTGTTAAATGCATGATATATTACCATTAAAGTATTGAATATGTAATTTTTTGCATATTCTGTACGCAAGCACAAAATATTAATCACTTGATTCAAGATAAACATTCTTCTTCATCTCTTGCAGCTGAACATCATGTACAATATTGGTTACTTCGCTTCACCCTTTATTGCTTATTCTGTATACCAGTGGGAATACTCAAGCTACATCACTGCAGCCAAGGTAATGCTGAATGCATCATTATTATTATTATGGAGAACTCTTTGGAACTTTGGATAATCTTATTTTTTCAGTTTGAGCAGAAAACTGTTTGATTTGTAGAATAAGTCCTGAGTTCTTAGATTGTGACAAGTACATTTGTCTTTTTTTCAGGTGCCTTTAAGTAGAGCACAAATGATTCTCCTTGTTGTTAGGTGTAAAGTAGTGAACTTTTGCATAATTTTCATCACCATCCAGTCTGTAAGAATGTAAGTTAGCTCCACTGTATGTAATAAAAGTACAGTGTGAAAGAATGATTGACTGGAAAGTTCTCTAATATTTCTTTAGTAGTGAAGTGGAAGTGATACTAAGGAAGTAATAGATACAGTGCATTAGTGAGAAGGAGGAAAGAAAATAGTTATGATCTTCATGGCTAAATTAGAGTGCTTGTATAGTACTGACTAACAATATGATTATATAATTAAGATTATCATTTTGTGAATACTATTAACTTAATTTGCAAACATATTACTGAGATGAATTTAAATGTAGCTTTTCTACTAATCTTCATTAGTGGAGAATTGAGTTATAAAGAGGTTAGATTTCTAAATTAGATTGATTCATTGCCATTCATGTTTTAAGCTGTAATATCTAGATGCATTGTATTTAGCTGTAAATATATATAATATTCATTGAAATTTGAATACCAGTACATTTAAAGGTTCTCCCTTATGGAAGAGGAAGTGCATTAATTAAAGTTCTGTTATTAAAAGTGCTCATTTGAGATAAACTTATTTAAATAAAAGTCTAAACTCTTATTTCATTAGTCATCATTACTGTAATGATTTTCTTAATGACTAAAGATTTCTAATGTTTCAGTATGGAACTGGTCTCGGACTACTGCTGATTGTAGCCATGATTATTCGAGGATTTGGCCGGAGATTTAACCCAACCTACACAACATTCATAAAGGTGCTGAACAAGGCTGGAAATTACAGACCTTCTCTTGAAGACATGGTAAGATACCTGAGTGGAAAGTCTCTTAGATAATCCTATTGAACTTCATACACTTTTGTTATTGACACTTGCTTTTCAAATAAAAAGTTTAGATTTTCTTTTGATGTATGTGTGGTGAGAGACTTGTATTATCATTCTGCCACAGCAGAGACTTTCTTAGGTTCTGTTAGTTTTTGTACACTATATATTTATATAGTGCAGTTTAACCAATTTTATTTTGCATTTCCAGGAGGCTGTGCAGAACTATGAATTTGACTTCTCAGCATGGCCAGTCAATTTTGATTGGGCAAGTGGAGTCCCGTAAGTTAACCATTTTATTTAGAAGGAGAAAAGAGAAGAGGATGAGTAGACTAGAGCAGAGAAAGTAGAAAGGTGATAGAGAAAAAGAGAGAGTTGGAATGGGGGAGAGAGATTGAAAGTAAATCATAGTTAGAAGAGAACTGTGAGTGAAGGAATGAAGGTAAGTGTAGTCATGAAGTGTAGTCATGAAAAAATGTGGAAGAAGAGAGTAAGAAAAGGAAGGTGATTAAAAAGGGAAAGAGTAGTGCATAAAAAGGGAAGTGAAAGAAATACGGTAGGCAGAAGAGATGGCAACAGAAGGGATAGGGTTAGAGAAGAATCTGAGTAACAGCAGTCATGGTTAAGAAAGTTGGTAAAAAAATATTTTTTAGTTATTTGGTTTACAAAATTTATCTGCATTTTTTCTGTGTGAATTAATATATTACTTGATTATTTTTTTTCAGGGATGAAAAAAAGAACAGAATATATGTTGTTGGGATGAGTTTAGTTCGGAGTAAAAGAGGAATACTCAGTAGGATATTGATGTTACCCATTGATATTATGGCAACACTTCTGACATTCTTGATTGGAAAACAGCTGATCTACCCCGGCTGCTCAGAGTGGTTCCAGACCATCATAGGTAGGCCAGAGTTGCAAACTAACACTGACTAGATGGACTTCTTTCATGCAATTCTCATATACTTTGGGACATTTTTATTCATTCATATTGTGTGGTTTTTGTCTATGATACACGGCAAATTATAAAAGTTTTTGGTTTTCAGGGCAAATTCTCATGAAAGAAAGAGAAAAATTGATTCTACACCAAGGAGGACAAAGAAGAAAAGTCACCACCCGGGATGGAAACAGCATTGACACAATGTTTGTGGACAGAAGAAAACAGTAGGTCATTGCTGGTACTTGTTTATTTGTTCTTAATATTGATACTGAATAGAAAATAGAAATGGTAATCCTCTCTTTAGGAAAGAGCAATATCATGGATGAAAAGATTATTATCTGTTGTCAGTTTATTTCTTATGAGCTTTAAGCCATAAATTACCA